CAGTCTGAGAGAGAGAGAGAGAGCACCCTTATCTGCTCACATTGCCAATGGAAACCAATATGTTTCTCTATGTTCTGCTCTTACAATAGTGTCTTGTCTATAGTATGGCTGTCAGCAGATGTGGCTACAATAATCTTAGGTATGATTACATACGTATTGTTTTAATATACAATGTTTTATGTTTTAATGCCCATTTATCATTTAGTATATCCTTTTTGTTCTTATTTTTGTTTTGCTGCTTGTGTAGTTGTTACTTGTGCTTAGTTCAGTGGTAGAACAGATGCTTCACACAACTTGGATCTGAGGGCTTGGCATGCTCTGGTCCATGGGGTCATGAAGAGTCAGACATAGCCTAACGACTAAGCAACAATTTTTCATAAATTGTTGAGTGAGGAGGTTGTTCAGCTTTTCTGTTAAAAGTACAATTCTTCTTTGTGGCCTCTGTGAATACACACATATGGGTTTAGTCTGCGCCTGCGCTGACATTCTCAGAGCATTCCAGAGCTAAAAGTAACAATTTTATGGGATGATCCCCCATGAGGCACATGCTCCTCCCACCCAAGATTCCCCTCAGTTCCTTTTTTCCCGCTATGCTGTAAAGTTCTATGGAGAAATAGAACTATTTCCACAGGGGCTTTTCCCTTAGCTTATTGATCGCTTTCCCTCTAAATTGGATACCTTCCATCTAATCTACAATCCCCCGTGAGTTGTTTTCATTTTTGCTTCCCAGCGTTTAGCTCCGTTTACTTCTTTCGACTTTCCTGCCTTTTATGGCCTCCTCAGCCCCTTTTTACTCTCGGACACATTAATGCTTTTCTGCCTGGGTAAGCAACATTTTACCCAGATAGGTACAGCCCACAGGAAAGTTTAGGAACCATGCTTTAGCAGGGATTCTGTAGGCTCGGTTCTCGCTTGTACGTGTTTACTTTTAACCCTGCATTTTCAGTTAGTTCAGCTGTCTAGCCAGCGGAAAAATAGATCGAGCGACAGTCCCGGTTCCCTCTCACATAACTATCCCCTCAGTCCAGAAGGGGACCCGACAATGCCACGGAGTCCATAAAATCTAGGTCTACATCAACACAACTGACAACTGTAAATCAGTGCACATTGTCTTACGATACTGGAGGAATCATCGACGGAGGCTAGCAAATTTGTCTCTGAAGAGAGGATGTGCCAGCTCTACCTGCACAAACTCTGGGATCGCCCAGTAACCTCTCTCCTCCAACTGGCCATCAGTGACTGTGCTACCGTCCAGTCTGGCTGTGGCCCATTATAGCCCTACATGAGGGCAGGCATTTGACGTTCCAGAGTTGGAGCTTGAGGCTCTTCCTCTATCTCACGAGAAGAGGAAAGTGAAATGGAGGCATGTCTCACCACCTCGATTTAAGCCTCTATTTGAGCAATCATCGAGAGAGACTGGTGAGTCATCGAGGGAAACTGGCGTATTTGCTTCTGAAAGAGAGAACGTGCATGCTCCACCTGCACAAACTCCGGGATCGCCCAGTAGCCTCTCTCTTCCAACTGGCCATTCAGTGACTGCTACCGTCCAGTCCAGCCATGACCCATTTTAGCCCTACATTAGGGCGTGCATTTGATAGTCCAGATTTTGAGCTCAGTCCTCTTCTATTATTTCATGAGGAACAAGGAGAAAAAGAGGAGTCCCTCACCACATCGAGCTCGACACGGACAAGCTAAACACTTCTGTTTTATCTCCAGCATATCAACTCCTCAGCATGGAACAATGCTTCTCATGGCTGATTCATCTCATATTAAAGCCCACTCTGGTCAGGCTCGACATGGACAAACTACACTTCAGCAAGGAGCTATACTTCTCATATGCCGCGTTCATATGGCAGTGGACAGGGAATTTGCCATAACTCTTCCTTCCGATACCCTTTATTCTACGGACAGTCTTCCGTCACCATCATTCCTAATTGAACGCAATCCAGATACCTCCATGGTGACCAAGGTAGTCCTGGTTCGCCTGCCTCAAATCGATATCGACAGACACATGTCAGTTCCCTCTGGTTCCTCACCTCCTAACTTTGGAGAGAGGGATGGTCTACCATCCAGATTTATTGTCCATGAACTTAACAGCCTGGAGAATACTCTCACTTTTACAGCAGTGCTCGCTTGAGCTCGGAAACCATCAACTCCATGTCAATATGTAAATAAATGAAATCTTTATTAAATATACAAAAGCAAATAACTACCTTACCAACTTTCTTTGAAGTGTTACCTACTTGGCCTTTGTGTTTATACTTTAAAATGTTATATATCTCCTACTGTTGCCCATTAACCAGATGATTCTAGTCCAGTAGGACTTTTGTCTCGCTCTATGGTCAGACATCTTCTCAGATGACTCAGTAACACCTGTCCTCCATGTAAACGCATCATTCCTCAATGGTCTGCAGATTATTCTAAATCCACTCATGTGCCCACCATTCGAGCCCATTTTATCTTCAAATGTGAAATTACTTACTTTCAAACAGCCTTCCTAGTGGCTGTTATATCTGCCAAGGGAACCCGTGAAATGGCTGGACTGTGATCCAATCATCCTGTTATTCAATTTTTCCTGATAAAGTGACTTCCTACTTTAATGTCCCATTCCTAACCTAAATCGACTAAGTTTTCATATTTATCTGTGCTTCATCTTACCATCATTCTTCAGATCACCATCATCTCCTCTAGAGCACTTGCTCCACAATATCGATGTAATATGCTCACCAGCATTTTGTCTGGACACTACCAGAGCTTCTGAACAAATGGCAGGCTCTTTTTATGCTTTCATGCTCCTCATTTCGAAGGTCCAGCTTCATCCTATCCATCTCTAGATCGATGGTCCAGACTGTATCTATGGCTTATCTGCGGTCAGACGAGTCACCATCTAATCAGCTTAAGGCTCACTCCACAGAGCGCCGTCTAACTCGACTGCATCCAGAGTAGAATCAAGACTCTCAGCATCTACTGTGCAGCAATATGATCCATGCTATCCACCTTTGCGGAGCACTACCGGCTAGACATAGGAACACACAATAACACTGGATTTGTCAGAACTGTGTTGGCATCCTTCCTACCGTGACGTCCCACCGGCCGATAAGAAAGCGTGCTAGTCACCCATATGTGTGCATTCATAGAGGCCATGAAGAAGAAAGAAAGGTTACTTACCTGTAACCATAGTTCTTCGAGTGGACCTCTGTTAATTCACACTACCCACCCATCCTCCCCTCTGTCCGTCACGGGTATCTTACTGTTGTATAACTCTCGTCCCCGGCGGACAAATTGCAGGAACTGAGGGGAATCTTGGGTGGGAGGAGCATGTGCCTCATGGGGGGATCATCCCATAAAATTGTTACTTTTAGCTCTAGAATACTCCGAGAATGTCAGCGCAGGCGCAGACTAAACCCATATGTGTGAATTCACAGAGGTCCACTCAAAGAACCATGGTTACAGGTATGTAACTTTTCTGCTTGTCAGAATGTCTCAGATTCAGTCCCCCACACCCCAGGTTAGAAAGGTCTTAGGTTACAGAGTTTCTGATATTTTTAAAAGGCTGTAACTGAATGGGTGGAGCACATCCTTTGGTTACAAAAGGTCCCAGATTCAGTCACTGGTTTCTTGATATATTGGGATCTCAAGATGTGTGTCTGAAATATTAAGAGGCACTGGCAGTCTCTGTAGTCAACACTCACCAGAGCTGATTAATGGTCTGACAATATAATGCAAGGTTCCTGTATATCTTATCTGAGCTGTTTTTACCGCAGTTGTTTTTCACTTGGAAAGAAAGTTACCAAATTGAATCAAAACATTTCACCCATCACTCCTTGTCAGTCAGTAAGAGACAGATGTGAATAGAGCTTACAGTAGTGACTTTGGGACAGAGAATTGTATTTAATGGGCAGATATCAAAATACTCAGTGCACTAAAATGAGGACTTCTTGGTCACTAATGCTTCTGCCCAACCCCTGGCGGGCTGGCTCAAACTTAACTAGATAAGATGCCAGCTTCTCAGTAGGAACCTAATAGTATGTTTTCTTTTTGAGTGTGTAGTTCCTTCAGATCTCTGTTTCTCAGCAGTCAGGCCTACAAATGATGTCTGTGTTTACCTCCTAAAATGAAACCAAACACCTTTGCAATATACAGAGATAAGGAAGACTTGTGCTAAGATAAACAGACTTTTTTATTTAGCTCTGTCTCTAATATCATGCTAACTGTATTGTCTCATTTAGGCTTGAATTTTCAGATTTTCTCCAAATGTTTTCCCACACTGTCCTAAGCTGTTCTTCTTGGTCTTCATGAGGGCAGAGGGCACTGCACATTTAATTTTCTGTCTTCTCTGTTTTCAAGGATGGAATTCTTACTATCTCTCATTTCATAACTAGTGTTCAATCCTATGTCTAAGCATGTCACGACAGTACAAAATTTGACTTGATATTTACATTGTTAATGTCTGCATTTCTGTCTTTCAATGTGAATGTTGCCATTTTCATCAACAGATTCCAAATTTCATTCCCAGGAGGATACAGTCAGGTTTTTAGTTCTGATTCATATCACTAAATATAAGCAAACAATCTCACTGAAACCAATGAGATTTCCTGGAGGTTTAAAATCAGGCATATATTGATATACCACTGTATTTTTGGACAATAGTGCTTAACACAAAATCAATGGAGTATCTTCGTACATAGGTGGGAGGATTCCAAATTTCATTCCCAGGAGGATACAGTCAGGTTTTTAGTTCTGATTCATATCACTAAATATAAGCAAACAATCTCACTGAAACCAATGAGATTTCCTGGAGGTTTAAAATCAGGCATATATTGATATACCACTGTATTTTTGGACAATAGTGCTTAACACAAAATCAATGGAGTATCTTCGTACATAGGTGGTAGATCAAGTTAATAATAAAAACAGTTCTGAATCTGATTAATAAAAACTACAGTTGGTTGCTAAATGATCTTCAGTATGTGTATATTTTTTTAAAAAAATTGCTTTAGAGATGATGAAGAGAAGAAAAAATCACCCTCAGATGGAAGTGATGAGAAGGATAATGGAACTCAGTCAAAGACTGTCAATCGGATTGGCAATTCCAGCAATCCTTTCCTGGAAATTCCTCATGATCCTAATGCCGCTGTGTACAAAACTGGCTTCCTGGCACGTAAAATCCATGCTGATATGGATGGAAAGAAAAGTGAGTATGTTTCAGTAACAACTGGTTTATCTTTGAGTTGCATAGCAAAGAAGCTTCAGCTACATCTATGAAGCTGAATGAAAGCCAATTTATTTATTACCCCTCCTGTATGACTGCAGGAATTTGAGCTGGCTGTGCCAACACAAGATCCCAGGCTACAGAAACAGCCTGTGGACCTTGAGGGCTGGAGAGAGAATGAAAAAAAAATGGTAAACTTTGTACAACTCTACATGCAGGTTACCAAGGAAGGACCACCGCCCTCCCCAGCTCAGAGGAACTTGTCACAGGCACTCTGCTAGAGTGGGGAGAATTACTACGGAGTCTTTTCTCTCTGAACTAATGATTTTTCTCTTTCAAGAGACATTGTGAGTTACCACTGAGAGCCAATTCTAAGAAGAGAAAACTCTCTTTCCCTCTCACTTCTTCACCAAGCATGTCTGAGGCCTTCTCTTCTTAGAACTGGTTCCTTGCTTATGCTCTGGAATCTTAACTCTTGCTGTAGTTTAGCCCTGATCATTTGTGGGTCTGACTACTCTTGTTATGGGCAAGGAAAACTTTTGCTACACTTTCCTACAGTATATCCCACTTACTGCTTTGTGCCTTCCCCTCTGAATAGGCTGCTCTGGTGAATAAAGAGGTAACTGTGTATGGAAAAGGAACTTTTTTCCCAGGAGAAGTAAAGCACACCCTTTCAAGAATGCAGTATATACGCTGTTGTTTATTTGTGCCCTTTCCTTCTGTAAAACCGTTTGATAAGAGAAGTTGACAGTACAGTATTTGGAAACCTAATGAGCATGGTCAGTTTTGACTTATATCACTAACATTTTCTTACATGAGTTTTGTTTGTGTTCATTCCTTTCTTAGCTCCACGAGGGAAGAGAGGTTGGAAAACCTTTTATGCTGTTCTTAAAGGCACTGTGCTTTATTTACAAAAGGTAAGAGATTTCCCATTAAATGCTCTCTCTCTTGTACTCCCTTCATTGAGTAATCTAATGTGTGTGCAGTACCCATAAGCTGGTGAACAATAAGACAGCCTGAAAATATCATGTCTTGCTAAACTACTTAGGTTGTTTTCTACCTCTGGGGTGCTTTTTAAAGTTTCAAGGAAGCGACAGGAAGCAGGAACAGTTTGTATGTTTCTTCAGTTTTCAAAGGTCCCACTCAGTCTCAACGGGACATTCATTCTGTCATTACTTTGGAAATATATGCATATTTCCCTAGCACTTCTTCTGAGACCTGAAGGTGGAGGGAAGACAAGGTCAGTGAAAGTCAAGTCACCCAAGATTCATCTTCTTTCATTGCTCCATCAGAATGTCCCAATAAGGGGCATTCTGAGAACATGGAGTGCATTGACTAATTATTGAGGGATGGTGTATTGATCACAGTGAAACTGCTATGATGACATGTGTCTTCTTACCCTTAATATAGCACCAGCTTCATCGCTTTGCAATCACTCAAAATTTATCTTCCCATGTTATTCCCTACAGCTGCAATCCTATACATTGCACCTATGGAAAACGCCCTTCCATGCCATATGCACTCACATTAGAATAAGAGTAATTGAACTCCCTGGGATTTCTTTTTAATTTCTAATCTCTGTGCCTAGTGTCACATTGGAATTACAGGATAGCTATCCTGAAGTTCTGCAAAAGACTGTTTCCTCTTTCCTTAAAAGAACATAGTTATTTGTTCATAAAATTTAACATACGGTGAAATGAATTTCTCTTTGCCATCTTTAGGATCTGTGATAACAGGAGCTCAGGCAGATGAATTCCCATTTCCTATCTAAGCACCGAAATTTGATTGTCTCAATACCAATTTCTCTTTTCAAGAGAACCCTAGAAACTGTCATTCTGTGAAAGATCTAGTTGGTTTCTCTCTCTCGACCCACTTAATATTTTTTTTAAAAAATAAATACATTTTTTAAAATGCTAAGAACCTCATCAGATTACATACCTTCCAGGGTTTTTAATGGGCTGGGTAGGAGTCATGATAGTTTATCTAACATAAAAGTTATGCAAGTATGTATTTGTATCTATGTCCAAAAACTGGATACTGTAGTAATATGTCAAGATAATAGTTAAAACTCATTCTAGCTGTTGAAATAGATACCAAATATTGTTAGCAAGTGCCAAGTATTTTATTTCTGAAGTAAATCTATACAGACTGACTGAGAAGTTGTAGGACACAGAATTCGTTATTCCCTATTTTAAATTGTAATCTCTGACTTCTTTAGAGTTAAAAATAACCAGATGACATTCATAGGACTTTCACTGTTTAGGCCAGTTATCAGAGCAATATCCCATGTTAAGAGAAAGATATCAGTGACTTTTTTAATGGTATGTGTACAAATCCAAACTTCAGCTATTACAAAAACTATTTCTCAAATGCTGCAGTGGAAGATGTGGCTTTTAGCTGACAAGGCAATTACAGCAATAATTTTTTTAACAAGGGGCTTTAAGGACATGGGTAAAGAACGTGAACAGCACCAGTGAAAAACCATCCAGGATTTCAGAATTTATCAGGCTTTTGATCAGCTTGTTCTGAAAGAAAGTTTGGGCAGATGGACAAAGAAATAACTTTTAAAAAGTTATAATAGCCACCCTTCAAGGTAAAGTGCCCAGCCAAGAAGCAGAATATTTCCCAAGAATTATTGTTTACTGCGTTCAAATAGTATGTACAGTAGACAATATATATATGCAGATCTATGGTTAAGATTTCTCTGAGATGACCCTTGGAGTATGGAAAACAACACCCTGGGAGAATTTTCAAATTAAGACAGATAGATGTCTGGGGGGTAGTTTCATAGTTAATTTTTTTGTGATACAACAGTTACCTCTGGAGATGGTATCTTTTGCACTTGGTTTGTATAACTTGATTCTGATTACTATAGTATAAAACATTTCTCTCATACTGGGAAGCATACAGAGTTGCTGTCCTTCCCCCGAAGCCTAGTGAAAGGTGAAGGACACTGGTGTTGGCTCCTGCACTGCTTTTCATATCTCTCCTGTGTTTTAAAATGCCATCTGGAGGGATCCCTGCCGTTGCTCAGGAACATGGGATATCTCCCAGTATCATGCGGGACCTTGCAGACGGACACTTTGAAAGCAGTGAGCAGAGTTGAGAAACATTTTTGGTTTATTTTTTTAACTACAGCATCCAGAACCTCTCAATCAGAATGGCTAGTGGTCATGCTGGCTGTGGGGTTCTGTGAATTGTAGTCCAAGCAGAAATGTTCCATTTCTAGAAGTAGCCCTTGTCTTTTTTAAGTGCCTCTAAGACTTGACATATGAGCCCACATCCCTCTTGCCAGTTGCAAACTGAAGAGGATGGCTTGGATTCCATCAATCCATTTGCATTGCTGGCTCAGCCACAGCAGACCTGTGACATCACATGGAAGATGGCCTTTTGTGAAGGAATAGGTGAAAGCAAATTGGGGTTGATGACCAAGGCCAGTCAAAATATTGTGGGACCCTGTTCTTGATTTATATTGGCATCCTTTTGGGAGGGGGCATGAAAGAAATTGAGTAGAATACATAACCTTTAAGTATAAATGTAGTGAGCTAAGCTACAGCTTAGCACTAGTTAACAAGTTGTTATTTGTATCCCTCATCATCACCAGGTTGTACAATTAGTGTTTGACAAGGGATACAATCAGTGAAGTGTTAATTTGCAGCTGTTTGCCTCTGCTGTTTATGTCATTGTATGTATGCTGATGTAAGAAATCAATTGGATTCTAGCCATTAGATTGCAAATTAGGGAGATTTGTCTTCAATAGAGATTAAAATCTACCAAAATGAATTTGACCAGACTCTGGGAGGCAGTGGAAGACAGGCGGGCCTGGCATGCTCTGGTCCATGGGGTCACGAAGAGTCGAACACGACTTAACGATTAAACAACAACAAGAGATTAAAATAGATCAAAAGTAACAGGGGATGTATGAGCCCCCAGATGTTGTTGAACTGCAGTTCCCATAATCCCTCACCATTGACTCTACTATCTAGGGCTGATGAGAGTTCTTGTGCAGCAACTTCTAGAGGGCCACACCTTCCTAATCCCAAAATATGGGGCAGATGGTTTCTTTATTCTCTCCTTTGTCTGTCTGCCTAATTATATGTACTTAAAAATAATCCCTGACCACATGCCTCCCCCCACCAATGTTTTGGGTATCATTTTCTTTTAGGTAGAACTGAGGGAAACTGTCTTCCAAGATGCCTTCTGGGTACCAGGTTGGGCAAAGCTGCTGTGCAGTATCATCTTATTTTAAGAAGAACCTGGTTGTCAGAAGCAACAACAGTGTGGAACTTTCCTACATAGTCCAGGATTCTAATATTACTGTACTAGGCAGTAGTAGCACTATTAAAAGCCAACTTAACACCTATGTTACTTCAACATGTACCATAAAAGATCTGATGTTAGCTGCCCCAAATGAGTAGAAACTATGTTATATTTATTAATTGTATGGTCGTGCTTCTGACAAACAAAGGAGAAAGAAAAGCTCTTACATCGCAGATTTAACATGGAAAGGAAGAAATTAGAGAAATGTGTTGTCTTAAGATTAACAAAAATATATTATCTGTAGATTTGTTTTACATTAAAAATATACTATAAAAGTTTTATATAGTAAACCTTGCCTATAACTCTGCTGTAAATGCAGTGGATGGAATCATGCTGGTGTTTCCTTGCAGTTTGTGTAATCCGCAGTGGCGAATTGCAGCCAATTGACAAGGTGCTGGGGCATATCTTGATTGTGTGCCAGATTACATGTGATTGTGAAAGCGAAGTGGACCATGGCACCTGATCAATTAGCTACAGTTAGCTGCAGCTAGTTATACAAACCTTATGCAAAGGCCAGTTGGATTTGAGCCAAAGAAGTGCATTGGTCTGCCAGTATCAGACTATATAATCTTGACTCATTCAGTTTGCCCCTGGAAGCTTCTTCTTTCCTTCCAAAACTTTTCAAAAAATTCCCTGAATCATACCTGCAGTTATATAGACATAGAGATCAATATCAAAATTCCATTCATGATGGTAACCACAAACAAAGACACTGAATCAGAAGTGGTCATTTTTCTGTGAGGGGAAAATATCATTATTTAATGTTAGAAAAGGAAAGTATGAACTGGAGAAAAAAAGATACAATACAAAGAACAAACAAGCTAAGTCACAGCCTGCAAAGGCCATGTTTAATGCCACAGGGCTTGTTTTTAGATATAATTTGAAGGTAGGATAATTGAAAATAAAGGAAGCAAGCCATGAAGTGGCACAAGGAATATATGTGGCACGGAAACAGAGAGAACATGAAGGGTTCCTTAACATGAGTCTGACATTATGCATTTTTGGAACTGGTGATCCCAGTAATGAAACTTGCACATTGAGCAAATGTCTGCATAAACTAGAATGGAAACAGGGCCAGTCTGGTTGGGGGCAGGGCAATCAGGACTTACTGTAGGACAACCATTAACAAAACACAAGTTTAGATAGCATAAATTCAAGCCAGAATGAGGTTTGTAAGAGTAAACATATGTAACACCACAGCAACAAAAGGAATGACTCCATTTACTTATCCATAAGAGAGCCAGCTGTGTAGCTAAGGACACCTCAGTTTTAATGTGGCATCCATTAAATATTTAGCTGTCACCATTCCATATTTACTTGATAGTTCGGATTTGTATCAGAGGTATTCTAGATCAGTATTTTTTAGATCCTGATAGATGGATGGCCTTTCTTGATGAATCACTGAGGGGGCACTCTTTTTGTGTGTGTGTGGAAATTGCAAAATACAGGTTCCTTGTTTAGAAAAGATGTGTGGTGGGCACTCAGTGGAGTTTGTATCTTTATGCAATGTGGATGACACTTTGGTAGAATTCAAAGTGGTCCATTTAGGTCAGAAATAAGAGACAAATGTATTTGGAAATAATACCTGTCAGCATTGCCATGAAACTGATAACAGTATGGTTCATATGTTTTCTGTGGGAAAACTTTAGGGCATGAAACATGCCCTAAAGTGATGCAGGAATTTGGATTGAATTTATATCATTTTATTTGAAATTCTTTAATCCAGGCTACATGCCTATTATTCAATTATTCCCTAAATATAATTTTTTAATTTACAGAGCTGCATAAGTGGCCAATAAAATAATCCATCACCAGGCTGGGAACATTTGGTTTCCCAGCTATTAATGGGCTGCATCAGTCCTAGCCAGCCTTATTCATGGGGAGAGATGAAAAGAGTTGCCATCCAGCAATATCAAGGAAGACACATACCCATCATTCCTGCAGCTTTCATATTTATATGTTATGCTTTTCATCCGTGAGTGTTTATACCATTGTTGCCAATTATAGTCCCAGCTTCCTATATAGGGGGTCTTTTCCTTCTTTGGCCTACCTATTATTCCCTTTTTCCTCTCTTGTGCAGTTCTTTCAGGATTTCAGCCCTAGCTAAACTGAACCAGAGCTTTTTGTTATGTTTTGGAGAACTGTGGCTTAAAAGCACACAAACAAGATCATGCAAAGAAGGAGTAAGGATACAGACCAGATCTTTATTCCCAGTTTAATAAATAAAGCATGGTTTGTTGTTGTCGGTTGTTCGGGCTCGTTGGTTGTTCTGAAGGTTGTTCTTCCAGACATTTTGCCAGTCTCTGTGTCCAGCATCTTCAGTGGAACAGAAATAGGGTTTATTTATTCAGTTTTATTAAGCAAGGAATATTATATCCAACCCAGGCATGTATGTTACTTTGGTTCCACATTGGTACCACATTGCCTCTCTCCCTTTCTCCTATATCCTGTTTTCCTTTTTCTTATATTTCTTCTTCAGTGCATTTTTCTTCCTCTTTTAATCTATCTGATTGTTTCTTCGAGTAGCCTACTGTGTTAATGCTCTATTTCCTTTCTTTTGTATGAAGAAGAGGGTGGATGGGTCATATGAGCCATCTCTATAGTTACTGTTCATATTTTGATAAATTATTTAAACTCTTAAGAAGGGGGAAAAACAGTATGCCGTGTTTACTTGGAAGCATAGTCCAATATGCTGTAACTTCTCCTCTTCCTAACTTTTATATATACAGAAAGAAAGAGAGAGTGTATAAAATTTTTCATTTCATGATAAAGGAAAGGAGTTTAAAAAAAGACAGCCATTTCTAAACAAATGGGCACAAGGCAAGAAAAGAAAAGGAGCTGAGCTGAAACCCTTACAATTAGCTGCTCAAATTGGTCTGCATAACATTATGTAACATCAGAAAGAACAGAAGGGCCTGTCATTTGTTATCCACCTCCTGGACGTTTCTGGGCTAAGGTTCACTTTCTGTTCTCTGGAATGTAACCAAATGGAAGAGAGTGAACAAAAGAAGGATACTGGCACAGTGTCTTATTCAACACATCTTGGAATGTGTGTGTAGGTTGACCTAGTTAACATGACAGAACATGGGCTTGTGGGGCTTGCAGTTCGTTAAAAAATACTTCTGAAAGCACAAATGGCCAATTTCTGTATTCCTGAGGGCCACCTTATCTTCTAGATGGTGGCCAGAATCCAAAATTAAACATTAGTTCTATTTTTAAGTATGAAAACTAATATTCCTTGAAACTCAGAGCTACTGTATTCCATGGGGATAACTTCCAAGTGCACAGAACGTCAGCCTGAGGGACAAATCCAACATGAGTCCAATTTAGAGTAGACTCATTGAAACAAATAGGACCGGATAGCCACTTAAGTCTCTTTGGTGTAAATTTGTCTTATCTAGGGGGAACTAAGTCTGGATTTAGCCCTAAGTTTTTTTGTCATGATTACTAACACTAACCACAGCTCAAACTGAAGTGAGCCAAACCCTTCAGAGGTTTACCCCTAGAACTCTGGGGAAGCATCTTTCTTTAGGGAAGAAGGAAGTCACTGATCTTAAAAGGCCAAAGGCCAGGAAGTTTCCTGACCCAAACATGCTATCACATACTGAGAAAGACTTCACAGATACTGTTTGGCAGTCATCTGCCTGGCCTCTTCCCTCCATTACTTTTTGTTTTATTCCATGTTGACACTTAGAACCTCCCCCCTTGCAAGCCTCAGGATTAAATATAATTTAGATAGCTGTTGTAGGTTTTTTGGGCTGTTTCCCCGTGTTCTGGAGGATTTTCTTCCTAACCTTTTGCCATTTTCTCTGGCCGGCATCTTCAGAGGACAGGAAAGCCTTTGAGAATACATAAATTAGATACATTTGCTGCTGAAAGATGTAGTATTTGTCATCATAAAAACAGATCTAGTAAAAAAAAACAATTAGGCCAAACCTTTTGAATAAGTTCTATAGCATGCAGAAATAGGAAGTTAATTGGGGGACTACGACCAGTGGTTATGGGGTGGGGGATGTTCTAGAAGGTCTTCCCCCCCATTGCTGATAGAATTACTGGATAAGAAGAGTAATCATTATAAGGCAGTCGATTTTAGATAGTACACTTTGCCTTGTAAGGCTGGCCTCTTGTACATTACTCTTAAAAACGCAGAGACCATCCTTCATTGACTTGGCAACATGAGGAGAAGCTAATAGCTGCACAGTGGTATTGCACTAGGTAAATTGTAGGACCTTTTCCTAATTTATCAGAGAAAAAGAGGCTGTCAAACCCAAATATTATTTAGATTACAATTGTAACACACACTTGACTCGGAGTGTGTCCCACTAAACTCAGTAGGCTTTGCTTTTCAGTAGATATACACAGAACTGCACCATTAATGTTTGAGAACCCAGATAGTGCAAACCTCTGCAGGGGATTGGTGTAAGTGACACTTAGAGATCTGTAGGCTACTATGTGGACCCTCCTTTCCTTTGTTAAATAGATCATGGAACTTCTTGCACCCCGTGGTGAATAGCATTGTTTTCTACAACAGGAAAAGAACCATTGGAAGAGCCACCAATGCAATAGCATAGTTCATGATTTCCATGCAGGAAATCCCAGTTTCGATATTGGAGTCTCCAATTGCATGTCTATTCAGAGGTCAGATCCACTCAGTTCAGTAGGATTTACTCACAGGCAGGATTGCAGACTTTGTTTGCAAAAGCTTTTGTTTTTTGTTTTTTTGCAGTGTTTCTTATGGCACTATTGGAACTTTTAAGAAGCAAGCATTAATCAACATTTTTTTTTCAAAAAAGTTAACTGTCTTCAGATTATTGAGAGGCAAATCCTATGAAATTCAGTGAACTAAGTCCCAGGTGAATGCATATGAGACTGCAGCTTTTAAAGATCCAAACTTGCACATATTTGGAATTTTTGTGGCATACAGCATATGAACAGGATTGAAATGGCATACACTTCTATTTGTTCCTGTGCAGTTCACCTTCATAAGCCATTCTATGTATTGTCTCTTTTGGAATGTAATTTAGAGTCTGAAAAAAAACAAAATAATAATTTGTGCCCCTTTATTTTTTATTTCTGCAGGATGAATACAAGCCAGATAAGGCTTTGTCAGAAGAAGATCTTAAAAATGCAGTCAGCGTGCACCATGCATTAGCATCAAAGGCAACAGACTATGAGAAGAAGCCAAATGTCCTGAAGCTCAAGACAGCTGACTGGAGAGTCCTGCTTTTCCAAGCTCAGTAAGGTTCCACTTGCGTTCTCTTTGAGGCATGATTCATGGAAAATATACTCTTGAATGGTGACTCTTCTCACCAGGATTATTTCCTCTCCCTTCCAACTCTTTCTCTTTTTCAAGCTGTATGAATGAATGCAGGAAAAAATTCTGAACTGCCTTTGACCCATCAAGCTGAATGCAGCCCACCACTTAAGCCATGGGGGCTGCCAGGCATTCTTAATACATTCAATAATATGGTTGTTGCGGGTTTTTTGGGCTCTTTGGCCGTGTCCTGAAGGTTGTTCTTCCTAACGTTTTGCCAGTCTCTGTGGCCGGCATCTTCAGAGGACAGCACTCTGTGCTCTGGTGTAGATGGCTTGGGAGTGCAGCATTTATGGCTGTGAGATAGGCTTTTGTGTGGATAGGTGATTAGTGTGTCTTGTTGTGGGTGCATTGTTGTGCTAAGGAGAAGAGATTATCTGTCACTGTGGTTGATGGTGTATTCAATAATTCATTAAATAATATATTAAAACACTTCTTATGTTTCCAGGCAGGTTATCTGTCACTGTGGTTGATGGGTGTATTCAATAATTTATTAAATAATACATTTAAACACTTCTTATGTTTCCAGGCAGACAGGCAGTAGGCTTTGTGGGACTTTAGTGAGCATAAGTTCTGCAGGCCTGCTGGAATGCAATGTTAGATGACAGCAGGCAGAAAAGGGGAGAGCTCTTTATAGAACATAATAAAGTATACTATACATACTGCTATACAAATATAATCACATTTTATTAAGCAACCTTCAAAAAGCATGTTTTCAAATAAGTTGGGATTGCTCAAGGGAACTGTATTAATAATTCAATTTTAAAGGGAAAAGATACAAATGATACATATGTGTACCCTTTATTGCTGTGCTATTTGCCCTCTAATAGTAAAGTCATTTTATCAAGTGTATAAAATTCCAGATAGGTAAACAAGAATATAAATAATTAGTGACTCTGCTCCCAGCAGAATAGGATGTAATTTTTCCAGATCTGTTTGCAGCCCTTTCAGATTGCCTGTGTGGCTTTTTTGGATTGCCTATATAGCTTAGTCCTCAGGACTTCACTGCTGTAGCCCCTCATCTCCCATGGCTATGGCTTATCCCAGGTTGATGCTTGTGTCTGTAGTTGAATGATAAAGCTCCAAATATTATAAAAGGAAACTAGCTTCTGGGGTTTGTGCAGTCTAAACAAAGCAGGGAGAAGAAATGTCAATAATCTTTCAAGCAGAGCTACCATCACCCACTGTCCAGTATGGAGACATCGAAATGAGGAGTGGGGTACTGGCATTTCCTATTATATTAAGGAAGATACTGAACTGTAAACAAAATATATGTGCTTGAGTCTGGACGCCCTGACAGGCCTGTCTCTCTTCTTCAGAAGCCCAGAAGAAATGGAATCATGGATCAATAAAATCAATTCGGTGGCAGCTGTTTTTTCTGCCCCACCGTTTCCAGCTGCTATTGGATCTCAGAAGAAATTTAGTCGCCCTCTTTTACCAGCCTCCACAACCAAATTATCTCAGGTGATTAATATACACTTTATATCCTGGTATATATCTTCTACTCTATCTTGATTCAACTTATTGTTCAACCCTGCCGTCTTTTTCCTTTTCCTTTTTTATCTTAAAGCTTGCTGATACCGTTTTTAATTGTTTAAATCTGTATTGATTAATTTATACTTTGCCTTGTTATTCTATTGTCTTTTTTATTATGCCATGTAAACCACCCAGAGTGGCCAGATGGGTGGTATATCAGTCAGTCAGTCTAACTGATTGACTGACTGACTGATATACCACCCATCTGGCATCAGTCCATCCATCCGTCCATCCATCCATCTATCCATAGACTACAGTCATACAAAGGTTTCATATTACAATGAGTCATGGTGAGGGAAGTACTTGGAGGGTAAGAAACATTAATAATAATTTCTTAATTAGTATTAATAGTAACTAACAGAATAATGACATAATTTGAGATAATGGTAATAACTAACAAAATGTTATGGCATGATGGGTAAGATGGATGTGAAGCACAGGGCTGCATTTGGCAACAGGGGTGTTGCTTTCCCCTGCAGGGCTTTTCTTGGAGAACTCTTGGCAACCTAGTATAAAGGAAAAAGACAGGGTTTACCCCTACCACAAGGGCAGACAGTAGCTGTCTTTGTGCATAGGAGAAGGGGGTGGAGCCTGTCTGCATATCCTGTTCCTTCATCTATATCAGTGGTCCCTAATCTTTTCCAAACCACGGACTGGTTGGAGGAGTGGGGAACGTGGGATGTGCACACATTCACAGGGGGTGCTTGCATGCATGCATGGGTGGGTGGGGTGTGCTCGTGGGGGTGGGGCACACGGGGCACCTGTGCATGCATGCATGGGGGCGGGGCGTGCATGTGGGGGGCGTGCTTGGGGGTGTGCATGTAGGGTGGTGGGAGATCTGTCTCCACAGCCCAGTCCTGCCAAGGCCATGGCCCAGTACCGGACCGTGGACCAGGGGTTGGGGACCCTGGATCTATACAACTACTGCCTCTAGTTAGTTGCTCAATTATATGGAAGCATGACACAGTGCTGAAATTGGCATTTAGCTAGATAAAGCCTTTTGCTTTTTCACCCTCTTATCCTTCTTGTGGGCTTTGCCTGAGCCTCTGATGAATCAGTGTGGAAAACAGGATGTTGAATGTTTGAATTTGACCCAACAATGCCCTTATGCTCTATGGTTTTTCCTCCTTCCCCCCATCCTTACTCCTCATTACAGCTCTTGAGAAATGGCCTGTAATACTATTTTACCATTTAACAACCTTCACATTATTTTACCAGGATGGGCAATTCTTTCAGTTGCCACAAGTTCAGAAGCTGATGTCCAGCTGCATAGTCTTAATTTCAGCAATCTGTTAAGAAATAAATATCATTTGCTTTTGAGTAAAATAAAGAAACAGGGAGTGAAGGGACATGAGCTGTTTTTAGCCAAAAGACAGGGAGGAAAATGTGTTATGTTTTCAAAGAAGATAAACCCAGGGACAAGCTGAGAACTGTCTGCTTTTATCTGTTAGCCAGAGAACTTGCCAGTAGGCTTCTGCTGATACTACAAAGTAAGAAACGTGACCTGTCAACTCTGTCTGGTTGCTGTTTTAGATGTTCTGGCCTGAATCAAGAAGTGACTACCCATCGGCCTCATGGTTGCAAGGCTTCATTTCTGCTCCCAGATCTGACCCAGAATAGATGCAGTCTTTGGGGGGGGGGAAGGGAGAGGGAAGCGCTGCAGGACCAGGAGGGCTCTGGATCAGGACTGTGGGGTGTGGAGGGAGCAAACTGTTACATTTCCCTCCACAAACACACATATATGCTATTTCCTTACCAAAGCACCTACAGTGATAAAATATTGCAGAGTGGACGCAATGTTAATTGAGGTGGGAGAATGCTGTGTGAAGAAGAGACAGATGCTTTCCCCTTTTCAACACAGTCTTGATAAGGGCCCTAGTCCTAATGGCTGCTTGCTATTCTGGGGACAGGATTCTGAGAGGTGACCCACTCCCAAAAGTAATTTTTACAAGCTCTAACATTCACATACCACAGCCACCCAGTTTCCCAGCATGCAGTGGGAGGCCACGCTGCTGCTTCCTGTTCCACTTCCTAATGCTTCATTGATAGATGCAATGGTCTCTCTCCTCCCCTTTGCCAAGGATGTTATTGCTACTGTTTGTTTTGTAAGAAAGGAACAAGCTGTAGGTAGTGCTAACCAGAAGGTGTTGCTGAACTCCTGCCATAGTACTGGATCAGAGGAATAAATATTTTATCTTCTTTATGTGAGATGCATTTGGGTGCTGAACCACATAAAGTCATGCTCATATGAATCAGATTCATTGTCATGGACACAGTTGCTGTTCTCAATTTTGTTAGTATATAATTTATAATGGTTTCCACTCAGTCTGATGGTATACCCAGTGGTTACTTGCAAATCTCTGTAGCCTAAATTATAGCTGGTGTTGGCCACGTCTTAACCTTCATTGATAGTCTTTCTTTGTATCAGTTTAGAACAGGTCATAGTGAGATATGCAATGCTTCGCAGCATTACTTGTTTGGATCACAGCCCCCAGAATTCCCCAGTTGGCACTGACCCTAGCACCTGGGGGATTCTGAGAACTGTAGTTCAGACATAACCTTTTTACATTTTGGTCACATATTAAGATACTGATGAATCAACTTTTTAAAAAAATGCTGTGGGTCCCACACTTGACATTTTCAAGACATGCAAGAGGGTTCCTCTATATATACTTTATTGTTGCAGGATGAACAGCTGAAATCACATGAAAGTAAGCTAAAGCAAATCTCTACAGAACTGGCTGAGCATCGGTCCTATCCACCCGATAAGAAACTTAAAGGCAAAGAAGTGGAGGACTACAAACTGAAGGATCACTATCTGGAATTTGAGGTATGTTGGGGTCAGCCGTGGTTGAGTGTCTTTTGAAGAGACTGTATAAATTTTCAGAAAAGCCAAGCAAGTGAACAGTGGAATGGCATTTTTGTAACTGTTTCAAAGTGAAAAATGACAAAATGCCATTTTCCGTGAGGCTCTGGCTACATTTAAATATAAGTGGCTTAAAACAATTTTGGTGGATGTGGCACTAGTAAACTTCCATAAATGAAAAGCTAAGTTGGAATAGAAAAAGAGGCTCATGAGCACATTCCCCTGTAGATGAGGTAAACATTATATCTGCTGAGGACCACATTCATTTGCTTTTGTGACCTTTCGGAGGCCAAATGCTGGGCAAGGCTGAAGCTAGTGGTGAAAGTCCCGAAGCCAGGAGAAGATTATTTGCCCTTCTTAGCTGTCTGATTAAAATTTTTAATGGCTGATCATGCCAGTGTTAGTTGTCTTCTCTGTTTTGTTACTGTTTTGTGGAACATTGTTTCATTTTTGTTTTTAAATGATTTAAGCCAACCACCTGAATACTGTTCCGACAATAGACAGGCATGGTCTGTCTGGTTTTCTCTTTCCAATGACATAGAAAGGTTATTCTTAGTGTGTGAGCTTTGGCTGAGTGTTCATTCTAGGTCGCATGTTAACATCTCTTGGTGGGGTCAAAGAAGAGGAGGACTGTTGCCTTTCTTCTCTTGTTTGTAACCAGTCTGGCAGCATCTGGCTAGCTAGTGTTAAAGACAAGAACCTGGGTCCAGTGGACCGGGAATCTGATTCAGTTGGCCTGCTGTTTGTTTTTTTAATAGACATCTGTGATAAATTACGAACAGCAGGATATTTTTAAAGTTACCATTTTCTTCCCAGTTATGTTTTTCATTATTCACATAAAGCATACAAGTACTTGTATCTTTGATCTTTATATGGTGTTTCGTCGGTGAATTTACAACCGTAGAAGTGCCAGATGTTAGTTCTTGGTCCAGACCAGCCTTCTCAAATAACAGGGTGACAGGAGCTTGCCACATCCGTGGCTTGGTTGTTGTATGGTGTGAAGCCTTGTTTCTTATGTCGCTTGCGGTGTAGCAGTGAATTCTGAGCTGTGAGTAGACAGACCATGTATCAGCACTCCCAAGTGGCATTCAAAAGTAGACACAGTGATGCCTTGACTTAAGAACCTAATCCGTAATGGAATGGTGTTCATAAGTCAAAACATTTGTAAGTCAAAGTAGCACAGTTTGTAAGTCAAAGCATTCATTCCCATAGGAACTAATGCAAAACTGGTTAATCCATCCTCTACCACTAGGGGCTGAATATTTTTTAAAACCTAAGATGACTTAGAAAAAAGGGCAGGAAAGGAGTGAGACAGAGAGAGAGGACAATGGGGGAGGGAGAAAGTTTGGAGTCTAAAACACATGCTAAACCAACACATTTAAAAACCACACATTTTACACCAACAAATTTTAAACCAAACCATCACAGACCCTTCCAAAAACTTTTCTGATTTGCAAGGGAAGCATGCATGAACCATTGCAAAAAAGAAAAAAAGAAAAAAACACGGAGCATATCAGAAATGCAAAGAGAACAAAGCAAAAAGGCAAGGGAAGCATGCATGAATCTTGGCAAAAGCACAGAAAACAAACAGAGCAGATTAGAAATGCAAAAAGAGCAAAGCAAAAAGCATGCAAGACACATCAAAAATGGGGGAAACCCCCCAAAAGCAACAACCCCCCTAAGACCCATCAGAAATTGGGGAAACCAAAAAAGCAAGACCCATCAGAAATGGGAAAAAACACTCCAAAAAGGAACCAAAACCCCCCCACTGGAAATGGGGGGGGGACCAAAAACAAATACTCCCAAGACCCATCACAGCACAGAAACATACCCCCCAGCCAAAAATCATGCTGCAAAAATACCCAGAACAGTTTTTTAAAAATATAAAGCAGCACCTTAGCAGGCAGCCTCCTCCGATCGCACATTCTCCAACTGCCGGGTCGAAAGAGCTACAAAGAAGCAGCCTCTTCACCACCTACAGTTAGCAATTTGAATTTCCCACCCTTTTACCCTGCCTTTTTTCTGTTTGTAAGTCAAAGGTCCGTTCGCAAGTCAAAGCAAAATTTTGTGAATTTGCAGATTGAGGCCAATGGGGAAAATGAGAATTTCAGTAAGAATGAAATGGATATACATTCAGCAGTCCCTAACTGGGCCCATCAGTTGCCTTGTGCAAACTGCTACTGCCCTGTAGAATACCATGAGTTACATGAGAAGATCAACATGGATTGCCTTTCATGTTAGCTAGTTTGCCATTCCTGATCTTCTGATTGAAGGATGCTGATAAGTTTCCAAAAAATCTCAGAAGAAAAAAAATGCTTTAACTTTTGACTGACAGGGAGGCAGACTGTTGAATTACTATATGATGACCCAGCATTTGTAGTTCCATTTCCTCTCCTTGCAGCTTTCTGGCATATTCATTATCTGATGAAGCATGTATCAGTCCCAAGCAGTATCAGTATTAATCTCTCTAGTTCCCTTATTTTTGACTGACATGCTTTAACTATTTAATTTATTTGTCTTACCACCACGGCAGTAAGTATAGATACTGAGTCTTTCTTCATTTAATTTTAAAACAGATTTTTCTTGTGATCTTTCTCTGCATCAGCCTGTCTCTTCAAAGGCTCTTTGAAAATCCCATTCATAACCACTGCTTTTTCTCTTGTGCTCTTTTATAAAGACTGTGAAGACCTCTTACATTTGAATAATAATGATTACCTGAATTCTTTTTAAGGGAATGTGCTTGAGTTTTCTCCCCTTTGATGAGTGTGTGGGCAACTGGTAGAGCTTCATCAACATTTGCGCTGATTCTGTGGGGACGGGTCAGAAGACGCATTGTTAAATAAAGCATTCTGTAAAGGCCAGTGTGTGCATTCTGCATCTCTTAAAAGTCTTTTCCCCCTGAGTTCCAGTTAATCACTAGTTATTTGAGTTAATCACAGAGCCATTGTGTGAGACTGCAGATAGAACTGCCCCATAACAGGGGACTGCATGTTATTCTAGAGACAGTGAACAAATTCGGCAGTTCGGTGCTTTAAAAATATGTTGGCTCTCCTGCAGGCTCAGTATTTTGGTTTTGGCAATCTTAGTAGATTGTTACTTGTGATGGGATGCATGTAAATGCCACCGTTTTTCTACTTGAGATAGAAAGTAGGTCTTGCAAAGAATATTTAGAGGAAGAGCTGATCACTCAGTGGTATATTTTTCATGAAGAAGGCTACTAATCAATCCTTGATGTGCTTAATGATTGTCATGTTGCTTTCATGACAATGCAGTTTTAAAAATCTAAACTAAAGGACAAAAAGCAGCTAGACACCAAAATTGTTGGTGAAATCTTTGTTCCCATTTTTCAGGCTCTCAACACTGATGTGTCATTTTATACAACATGCATACACACATATACATATGCAGTCTGATAGATTTGAGGTATGGTGTGTCAATTACATATGAGAGCCATTATGGTACAATGATTAAACGTTGTGGAAGGGATTCAAGGGAGCTCCCCATGAATCCCATGACCTTGAGTCAATCCTGCTGTTGGCCTGATATATGTCACAAAGCTGTTGCCAGGATAAAGTGGGGAGGAGGAAAGCTACACTGCTTTGAGCTCAGTAGAAGGAAGGCAGGATAAAAATGTAACAAAACACACACATCCCAAGAGTAGGTCCTAGTGTTTTCCAAACAAGTAGTCATTACTAGCCTGTTTCAGGGGGGAAATAGCCATATGTTATGGCACTTGAAAGCAAATATATTATGCCATAAATTTGCTAGCCGTTAAGATGCCAAAAGGGTCTTTTTGTTTCTCTGGGCTTTGATGGCTGACTCACGTTAGAGGAACTTTTAGTTTGACATTACCAAGGTATAATTCTACAAAGACCTTGAAATACTATTACCCCCGGGTCACAATTCCTCACCAGTTGGCTTTATTTAAATACTCCAGCTTCAGTGGGTTGCTGGGGACCTGTGGTGTCAGCATTCACTATGAACAGTTAGATCCAAAACATAAAGAATGGCCTCATTTTTGTTTGTCTGATGAAGAATAGTGTAATCTAGTTGCATTCACTAGTGATGGGGGCATTATATACTGTACCCAAGGATGCAGTGCTTTTAATTGGGTCTGAAGTTAGCACGGCTTTCCAGCAGGGATAGGATTTTCATATTTCTTAGACTACAAATCCTATATTTTAATATGTGACTAGCACACACCTTACAGACTCCTAAATGTGACTTACTTGGACAAAGACCATAACTCAAAGACTTTGAGGTTTAGCTAGGCCTAGCACCATTCAAGCTTCCTGTTCCTGTCCTGGTGCTAGTTGAGTTCTTTCTGAACACAGCCAGGCAGAACTAGTTGTAGCTAAGCCTCAAATACTTTCATTTGAGGTCATATTGTAGAATAATAAAATAATTGAGTTGGAAAGGGCCTATAAGGCCATTGAGTCCAACCCCCGGCTCAGTGCAGGAATCCAAATCAAAGCACATCTGACAGATGGTTTCCCAAATCGTCTTGAATGCCTCCAGCACTCACCGTCTCCTGAGGTAATCGATTCCTTTGTTGCACTGCTCTAACAGTTATGAAGTTTTCCAGATATGCAGCACAAATCTGGTTTCCTGTAGCTTGAGCCCTTTATTACATGTCCTCTACTCTAGGATGATTGAGAACAGATCCTGTCCGTCCTCTCTATGACTACCTTTCAAGTACAGTATTTGAAGAGTTATATCATATTTCCCCTCATCCTTCTTTTCTCAAGATTAAACATACCTAGTTATTTCAGTCTTTCCTGGTTTGGGCTTGGTTTCCACTCCCCTGATCATCTTTGTTGCCCTGCTCTGAACTTGCTCCAGTTTGTTGGCGTCCTTCTTAAAGTGCAGTGTCCAGAACTGGACACAGGACTCTAGATGTGGCCCAACTAAAGAGAGAAGAACCAGTACTAATGGGCTTTTTCCTAAGTGTGCCACATTTAGTTATCTGTAAGGTGTCTTTCAGTTTGAACTCCTAAAATGGAGAATTATGGGAGTTGTAATCCAAGAATTCCAAAACTCCCATCCCCATTTTTATACTCACATCATAACTTTTGTAATTAAAGGTACGAAGCCTTGATGAATAAGTAGCCGTCATGTGTGATTAATAGAATATTGTCAATGTTTTATTTTTAAACCTTTAAAAATTATTACCAAATGTACATACTGAAAACTTTTACTAGTTTTATACAACTCCTTCCTGGTTCTCTAGAATTCTCAAACTATTTTGTTCAAGGAGGCTGATTTTAACTTCTGGATATTTGGCTTCACTGCCTCTGCCACACAACACCAACTACATGTTGGGGAGTAGAGGGTGTAGCTATCTTTGCATAAAGTTTTAGGGATGTGTGAAAAGAACTTTTGATCAGGACGCTAGTCTAACACTGGAATTAGAATGGTAAATAGGATAATCTCCCCTCCCCACAACAAATATGAAAGCACACATGAGGAAACTGTACTAGAACAAAGAGTTTAGAATTCTTTTTTTCTCTTCAAACCAAGTTGCAAAAAAATGGAGCATGTATCTCTTCCACACACAAACATACCAATTTAATGGCTGACGTCCTAGTCATGTAAATCTATGCTACACAGATGATGTCATCAGCGGTGACTTAAATATTTTATTTAATTTAAAACTTCCTCACCCTCCTCCATTCAGGTTCTAAGGCTCCCTATGGATCTCTTTTGCCCCTGAGAAGCCTTTAGGAGCTTTGGGGGCAGGGAGCCTTTCATATCAGAAAATCACCACCAGATTGTCCGTGGGAGTTCCAGTCCAGCAGCAGGACTGCTACCGGTGATTTTCTGATATGAAAGGCTCCCCTGACTGCCATCCAGAGGCTCCCAAGGTTAAAAGGGCTCCCCATAGAGATTCAGAACCGGAGGGGGTAGGTAGCATCTTTTAATTTAATGAATATAAAGATTTCCATCACCAGATGATTGCATTGTCTAACTTGCATTGCATACATATATGCTAACAGGATTTCAATCAAGATGAGATAATAAGAACCATCTGCTAGATTATATTTGATCTTTGCATAAATCAGGGGGCTGTCCCAAGGTCTGGGTCCTTCACTAGGAGATTCTGATTCCATGTCTAGAAGGAGTCCACTCTTAAGAGGAGGAGAATGTCTGTTTATTCTAACATGGTCTTTGCATTTGGCAGCTCAGCCTGCATTTATTTTGTAATTGGTCGGCTGGGAGATAGCATATGTTTCCATGTTGGGTGTCTCAGCCATGTAGCACTAAAAGATCTGTGTGGATGACAGAAGAGGAAAATGTTCTTCTTCTTACAGTATGATCTGACCCTCAGCACCACTGGTTTAAGCAAAGTCATATCCTCTGGACTTCCTTACTATTTTTCAGCTGTTTCTCTCAAAGAAGACCTACCAAATATGCTTCAGCTTTCACTTTAGGAAAAATTTCAGTAGCAACTCTGACCTTAGCATTCACCAGCCACAATCTGCTTTGTTGTTTTACTTGCTATACCAATGAATAGGTTCAGAAATCCAGCATGAATTCACCTTGGCTTCCTTCCTTCGTGTATCAGAGAGGTTTAGCCTTTTTTTAATGTTTTTTTTTCCAGAAAATCCGCTATGAAACCTATGTGTCTCTCCTCAAAGAAGGAGCAGGAAAAGAATTGCTGAGCACTAATGAGAATGATGGTCCGGGACTGAAGAAATGCCACTCAAGCCCCTCGTTAAACCAGGAGTCTCCTGTTAGTGCCAAGGTGAAGCGCAACATCTCCGAGAGGAAGGACTATAGACCTGAAACGCCCAGTGTCAAGCAGAAGGTTACTTAGGGCACCTGAGGCAGGCTGGAGGAATAACATCTCTTTCTCTTTAATAACCTGTCCTTTGCAAAATCAAAACAAACAAAATTAACACATTTGCCTAAATGGGGTGTTAGTTCCATTTTCAATTGTAAATTTTGTTGTTTCTGTACAGGTTGTTGGAGATGTTTTGGCTTCTGATTTGCATTTGCCTAGTTAATTTATCATAGAGCCATAGAGCCATTTCTTTTTCTAAATAAGTAAAAAAAGGTGGGGGAGCAAGGAGTGGACGGGGAGAAATTTCATGATATATTTCTCTATCTCTCTCATCTTTTTCGCTTCTTTTGTGGGCTTGTGATTTTCATCTCTCAAGTCATCTGCTGTTTTTCAACAGCTGGGAAAGATACTGGACAAATTGAAGCATACTTACTTGTTTAGTTTTGTAAAGGCATTTACCAAGATGGCATTGACTCACTGTAAGAGAAACTAGGTAAAAAATGCCAAGTTTGGTGACGATATATGAAGGGAACGCTGTTAGTGACTAAACTGAAGAATGAACATTTGTTGTAATCCCTGTGTTTACAACCTATAAGGGACTGGAAAGTGATGGCTGGATGTTTTTAAAAAAAGCAAAACAAAAGGCAAGCAACAAAGGGAGTTTTCTGGATATAGAAACACAGAAAGACCTGTGGCGGTCAGAAGTGGTTCCAGTCAAAACTGGTCTTGTGTTTTTGTTTGACTGAGAGAAACTTCTGTTCCATTGACTTCTCTGTTTGATCGGTGAGTCGCACTACCCTTAATAGTTCTCAGCAGTGTGTAATTATACATTTGTTGTACAGAAAACTGTAATGTGTATTTATTTTTCATTGACCTTTTGATCCTCCTCCAGATATTCAGATATGTTCAGGCACTTTATGGTTGAATTGCTTGCAACTGGTTGTGTTTCTCTTAATGCTGGAAAGCCTGAAGGAGCAGCAAGTAATCAGTTGCCTTCTCTAACTTGAAGTCAGGGACCGTTACAGAAACACTCTGTAAAACAAGGGAATATTTCTTCCTAGAAGAAAGCAAAATTCTGACTCCATTCCAACAACCCTGTGCCAGCCAGCAGATCTCTTCAATCAGAAATTTACCCACCATAGATATGTTATCCCCAAGTCTATTTCCTGTCATCATGGGGGGGAAAAAACCATGGGCCAAAAACAAGAAAAGCTGTACTATTATTACTACTTCTGTGTTGGCTTCATTTCCCTAGCATGGGATAGCATTCCTTTTGAAGCTTCTTCAAAGTTGATGAAGATAAAACAATGACACTCAGCAACTCACCCAAAACAAACAAAGAAAAATTAAACAGCCTGAGCAATGTAGAGATTACATCATAGCCGAAGTCCACAAGGGATGCACTACTGAGAATTAAAACTCTTGGAAGTAGTAAAGAATTGATTTATTGGACTCTAGAACTAGGAGCTCAGAGACTGGGACTATGATTTCTGTATGCTGCTGATGCAAGGGTGGGGGAGGGTTGCATTCTCTGCCACCCAACCAGCCAGGACAGATGGGGCAAAGGGGTGAGTTTCCCTAATCCCTAGACGTTATCTGCCTTATAGAAGGGCAAAAGACTAAGGTGACACATTTTAGAACTCTGAATCCAAGTAATACATTGTGAATACTAAACTGAAAGCTGTCTTCAATTATAACACGGTGCAAGTGCATTTTGGGATACCCTCTCTCTGTGGTAAAATTCTTGCATGCCTGGCATTGGCCATGAAGATGGGAATCAATTTGAAATGACCCCACAGAGCCGTAAGTCAAGGAGTCAGAAACCTTTTCCCCTCCAGATGTTGTGTAGTAGAATTCTTTGCCAGGGCTGTTCTGGCTGGGGTTTCTGGGAGTTGTAGGACACAAATTGGGGGGACCCAAACTGAGAGGAGGGCTAAACTGAGAATGGGGACCTTTACTGCCTGCACTTTTTTAGAGCGCCCTTCTGCAATCCTTGGAGAAGCATTGGAGCTCTGCATTGTGAAGGATAAAGCAGTCGTTAAGACAGTTGGGCTGACAGTTACTGTGAGAATGGATGGCACCCAGAAGAGTGGTGTTTAAAAGACAGTGGCTTCCGCATTGTTCTGCAGTAGCTCATTTTTCATCCGTCGTCTAGAAAGCCTGCAAACTGTCCAGTCATATTGAAATAGGAGAGACAGCAATAAAGTGACAGAGCTGATTAACATTGTCTGGAAAGAAAGAATGACCTTGCCCTCAGTGGTGTGCAGGATGTGGCTCTCTCTGGTGAAGCAGATGGGGGAAAGTAAAGTTGCCATAGAAGGGCTGAGAGGAATCTCCCAAGATGTTATGGTTGGCATGGGATGGAGGTCAGAATCAAAGGCAAGAGAGAAATCAGTTTATTTTATGGACAAGTGTGATACTCTAACATTGTATAAAGATTCTTCCTGTTATTTTCCATAGGCGAATGTAGGATAATTTGAGTTATCCAGGAGACTTCAATATTGTTTGGCTGATAATCTCTACATCTGTTTGCTGAGTGTCGTTGTGTAGCATCTGTAAACTCCAAAACAACTATTTTCCTCAGAAGTAACTGTAAGAGCAGGTTCTGTTCATTTTAAAGAGTGCTATAGGATGGTACACTCCTTCTTTCCACTGATAATACATAGTCACAAAGTAGCTGACCTCATACAGCTGAACTGTTACAGGATGATGATAGAAGACAAGGTGGTCTTCTCTCCCCTTAAAGGTAATTGAACTTTGCATCAGCTAGGATTTGGGTAGGGATACATATTGCAGCCAGACTGCAGCTACACCACCCACATTATTAGTTTCCTAGAGGAGAGAGAGAGCTCTTTGTTTCTATGTGAGAGAGACTCCAGTGTAACAGTATCTGTGGGTTATTTGTGTTTGTCACAAGGACATTAGGGCTCTTATAACTTTGCCACTATTTTGTGGAAATTTCATTGGTGTTGCTTGTCATGCAAGGTTGGAAAAAATTGTTCCTACTGTGGAGGTTCTAGGGGTTTGGGCACCACTGAGCCTCTACCTGGCCGCACTGAGCCTGGGCGGCAGCATCTTCCTGCTAGACCTGTGGTGGGATTTGAGTGCAGCTGTGTGGGTGCTGCAAGAAGCGTCAGCAACTTAGAGATGGGAGCTGGAGGCACAGCGAGCCCCTCCTTCACACCCTGGCCAAGCTCAGTGCAAGGTAGACAAGGTGGAGTTGGGGGAAGATGGGGAAAGGAAGGATGATGATGGAGGAGAAGGAGGGTGCCTTGGGGGCACTCCTGCTGGGAATGGGGGAGGGGGTACTGTGGAAAGCGGTGGCAGCAGGTCCACCAGTTAAGGGGTACTATACTTGGCCTGGGTGCTAGCAACCCATGCTATGCCACTGGAGAGCCCTGCTCTTGGCTATGCTGAGTGTTCCTGAGACTCTTCTGGGAGACAAATGCAAAGCGGACCATTGTTAGAAACTTAGCACTGGCGCAGTTTCCTGTCTATGTATCTTAGAGTCAGAATGGTTTTGTATGTTGAGGTGGGAGGACATAGACCTAAATACCACTGTGAATCTTTCTCAGTAGCAGCTGGTATATATTGTTGATGTGTGGAAAGAACATTAGCCAGTGGTGGGCAGAGCAGAGCAAGAGTGGCTATTCATATACACAGGAAGGCATTCTCTTTCGCACAAACAGGCAAGCATTCACTTAGACAGACACACCACGGACAGAGGTCTTCTGACTCTGGTAAGGTAGCAGAAACGAGTGGATGGGCTGGGGGTGATCGTCTGAAGTAGGCAGAGCCTGACTTTCCCTCATGGGCAAGCCACCACTGGTCCTTCTCATGGCTGGACTAGTTATGCAGAATTAATAGGACTTTCAATTTGATGGACTTACCAAATTCCCAGTGATTCAATGGGCTTGCTCTAATTGAACTATGGTTAGGTTTAAGCCTCTGTTTTCAAGACAATGGTTTTTCTGCAGATGTGGCCCCATCACTTGTGATCAGATTGTACTGCAAAATAATTGATAAATAAATATAACTGCTTCCTGATAACTAAATGCACGAGCCTGGACACAGTTGAATACAAAATCCAGAGAGAGAGCCTTCTGTAGACTGAATTTGTTGTTAATGGCATCCCAGAACAAACCCTCTGAATTGTGTTTGAATTTTCTCTTTCTCTTGTCCCCTTCCTATTTTTTTTCCCAAACCCGTTGATGGGAAATACAAGAAAGACCACAGACTGAGCCCACTGTGCTTAACATTACCATACAGTTCTCTAAAGCATCTGGGTACCAGCTGGAAACCTTCTGCTTTACTACTGCATTATTTCATGGTGCTTCAAAACACCAAAACAGCTCCCAAGATGGCTATTTAAGTTGCACAATTAAAAGCTTGATGCACTTGATGTGTACTCTCATTCTCATTGTGTACTAAAATGAATACTGAAGCCTTGTTGTGAATGGCCATGTCACGAGTATTGAAACACAGCATTTTGTGTGCAGTTTTGTTTGTTTGTTTTGAGAAGCCTGGGGTTGTTCTGATTATTAATTGCAAGGAAAAGGCCTATTGCGGTAAAGGCAGGTGAAGTGTATGTGAAGGGAATGTTCATAAACCTCAAGGGATCCCTGCAGAGTCCAGTACATTTCACTGGCTGAATCCTGACTAGGGAGGGGGCTAACCAGGTTTTGTCTTTACTGCATGGTTGTCCCCAGTAACAATCCTTTAAAATTTTCCCTATAGAAATAAGTTTATTTTTATTGCATATTTGCTTGTGTGGGAAGAGGTGGAGAATGCACTTGAAGACATGTTTGAGCTGGAAACAGGCTAATCCCTCTGCTCCGCCCCTAGCGACACATTTCCAATCACTGAAATCCAAACCTCCCCTCCATGGCTTTATCTTGGGCTTCTGTTGCTTGGCCATATCGAAACTCAACCAAGAAATGTATGGCCCTTTAAATGATGTTAATCTGCAACTCCCATCAGCTTTAGCCAGCATAGCCAGTGGTGAAGGGAGTTGTAATCTGATACCATTTGGCGGGAATTGGCATTCAAAAAAAGTAAATTTTCCACTCTCCCTCTAATACATTCTCATCTTCATCCAATAGAGTTTTTATATATGAGTTTAATCTTGTGAAAATGCAAATGGTTGGAAGCACTTTCAGATGCCAGTTACTCCCTGGCAAATTCACTCATGCCAGAAACAGATTTACCCATGGTCTGTAAGTAGGGCTGAAAGGACCTTTGTGTTGTAGAGAGATGATTGAGACAGCCTTTTTGTGTCTGTGGAATCAGACTCCACAGAAACCTTGTCAAATCCCCAGGACCACTCACTAAACCAAGCATAATCTGCATAAATTCAGAGGTGAGAGAAGCTAGTGCTGTGACACTCAACTGCTCACATTAGTGAAGATTTAGCCTCTTCGTGTCATAGGCAATCTCTAACACCTGCTTCTAGCCTCAGAGATAAACTCTCTTCTATAAACTAAAGGATCTGTTCTACAAATTAAGTTTAACTAAGCTCGGGAATGTTTTGGGTTCTCCTTTCATTCACTCTGAATATGTTTTCTTTTAAAAGCAAAGCAGGAAGTGAGGGCAAACTGTTGGTTTAGTAGAAAACAACATAGTTTAGCCATTATTCCATGGGGTAATTTGTACACTTCTTACTTTAACCGGGAACATAACGTCCTTGGACTCATTAAGCTTCTGGAAGATAAAAGCTGACACGCTTTTAGCTCTCCCACCCCCTGGCCATATTTTGCAGCTTCTACTGCTTGGTGTCTTCCCCAAGATGAATTTTTGATCCATTTTGAGGAACAACGATGGGCGATGGATTACATCCACTTAATTTTCATTTGTCTCCCACATTCGGTGTACTGTTGTCAGGAAAGAAACACCGTGTTCTCGTACTCCAGCAGGCTGACATATCTGGATCAACGCTTGCTTTTAAATACTTCTTCCAAACCATGTATGCTTCAGCATCTATAGGCCAAAATCGTATAAATTTATACATTTGTCAGGAATGTGATGGAGCTTACTAGGCTGCTGACTGCTGTTGAGGTTTTGGCAATGATCTGGAATTGTTCATTTTTAGACAAGCCTCTATCTCTCAGCCTTGACTGCCTTTCTCCTATATTGCGATAAAAGGATGATAATAGTGACACAATTTACAGGAGTGTTGTAAACATTGCTAGGATAATGTACATTAAGGGCTTGAATGCTATGGACAGGTTCCAGAGCTGCAAATTATTGTATATTACATTCTTTGTTTCAGTTTGAATTTGAGAAAGAATTGTTATAATAAAATTATTCACAAGGAATGAATGTCACAAGGAACACCTTGTTCATGGCAAGAAGGTTATTGACAAGCAAAATAGTTAAAATACTTTGCTGTAAGTTTGAGGCAGGTTTTGATTTAGGCATCTGGCTGCAGCTTCCCCACTGTGCTTCCTTGACAGAGGCTGGACTTAGGATCCATAGGATTTCTTCTAGCTCTGCAGTTCTAAGATGATGACAATGAAGATGAGAATTATTTTATACATCTAGTTAGTGTCTTTTCAAAATAACAATAGAATATTCTCTCTGAAGGTAAATTGCAAATATTACAGTGTTATACTGCACCTGAATTTTGTCTGAAATGGAGAACTTGAATAATCTGTCAAATACAGGGTGTAATGTTCATCTACCCATAGTCACCATGTACATGATATATAATATACAATATGCTGGCAGAACACAATACAGTGGTGCTTCGCTTGACGATGATAATCCGTTCCGCTGAAATCGCTGTTAAGCGAAATCGTTGTTAAGCAAATTTTAAAAACCTATTGAAATGCATTGAAAACCGTTCAATGCGTTCCAATGGGCTAAATACCTGGTCGTTTTGCGAAGATCCTCCATAGGGTGGCCATTTTCTGGTGCCTGTAAAGCAAGGAATCCGTCCTAAAGCACAGCGGGGAGCCATTTTGCACAGCGGGAGGTCATTTTAGAGCCGCCGATCAGCTGTTTTAGAATCATCATCTAGCGAAAAATCGGTTCCCGAAGCAGGGAACCGATCATCATCAAGCAAATTTTCCCTATCTAAACATCGTTTTGCAATTGTTATTGCGATCGCAGAAACCTTGTAAAGCAGATTCGTCGTTTAACGAGTTAATCATTAAGTGAGACACCACTGTATAGTGATTGTTCCTGATGAATTTGTTTTTGTGTTTGCATCTAAAACAGCTGCAAGTAGGTTTAAAAGCACAGTGAGTATTTATCTCTCTTATGATAGAATACAGCAGAGCAGCAAAAGCAACAAGAATATCCTGTCTCTTTTGCAGGTTAAGCTTTAGAAGGGAAGCAGCCAAATGCTTTAACAACTGGAAAAAGCAATTCTTTTATTTTACTTAAAGTCCAGATATGGAAATGCTGTCTTGTTTATGGAAAGGGAAGGTGTCAATTTACCAAATGAATACCTGAATTATTGGATCTTATTTCCAGAACAGCTACATGTTAACCTGCTCTTTCCCCAGTTACTGAAGTATATCTTCTTCTTTGTCTATAGCTAGAGAGACTCTGAAACCATTAAATAACTAGATTTCATACCAGGTTCTGGTAGGTGGTTCCTAAGGAGCTTGTCTGGATTCAAGGAAAGACCCCCCCCCTTCCAATTGTCAGGCTGACATGGGACCGAGGCATTTGCTTGTAGCTCAGTATTTAACTGCATTTTGAATGCACAGGGACTCAGGTTCAGTCCTTGGCATTTCTAGATGAAAGGATCTCACATGACAGACTAAGGAAGAACTTTTCCTGAGTTCTGAGATTGCTGCTGTTAGATATTATAATACTGAACTAATAGTCTGATGCATTGACAACATACAAAAAACCCCACAGACACATCTGAATTGATTATTTCTGGGTCTTTGACGATTCCTGATTGGTGTAGCGTATAGTACGTTCTTTACAACAGCCTTCCACAGCTTGATCCCTTCCAAATATGTTCAGTTACAACTTTCATGATCCCACTCAACACTGGCCGTTAGGGATAATGGAGTCTAGTAAAGAGACCAGGTTGGGGAAGGCTGTTTTGTAAGAAGCTTTGCTGGAATGTGATATATGTAAAACCATTCAGGTAGACATGGATCTTCATCTTCATGGCTTGGTTAGTGTTGGGAGGTATCAATGCTGAGTTATTTTCAGATAAGGAAGTATAAAACAGGTTAAATTATATCTGTTACTGGATTTGGCTTGCATGTAAACATTGGAGCTACTGGGATCCAGCTGAAACATTATACAGTACCAACGTAAGTCCATTAGTGCAAATTTCGGCAGCAGGTTGCTCCAAGTTAAGAATTCAGTATAGGCATTTGCTGTAGCACACCCAGTTACAAGACTGGTATGCAACAGTAGATTCCTATACTGATTTCTTAACTAGTGGCAATTCATCACTGAGGTTTACAGCAATGGTCTCACACTGGCATAATTTTTCAAATAGACGTTGGTTGTTACAATAATAATCTTATGCAAGGTTTTACTGTGACATGGATATCTGTATACTGGAAGTGGCTGAAATAATTGCAGCGCCCTTTGGTGAACATAGCTGCAGATAACTTTCTGTTCTCCTTTATGCAGAGTTTTGTGAGCTTAAAAATCTTGTGGACTTTTGCAGCATTAGAGGTTAGTCTGGTAATGTTATTATCACCATTATGTTCTTCTGTATATCTCAAAGAGGTGTGGCTGACTGACAGTTGTAGTAACTCTGGAAAAGACTTTAATGTCATCATTTTGCACAGGAAAATGCCACCTCAAGGTGATCTTTCTGCACTGTCCTTCTGTTCGTATTCATTTGGTCATCTAATGGTGGCATTTCTCTGTAAAATATTATAGCATACACTTACATGGTATTTGTTCTTCCTGGGAGTTTATCAGAGTTTTGTTAAAGGTACATGTTAGAAGTAGTAGTACATATAAAACCCTCAGATGTGCATAGTAATTACTGCCATTTTGCTATAATGCTGTTTGGTATTTTAAAGTTCCATTAGCAGAGAGTTTGTGCTTTGCTTCTACTTCAGTAAAAGATGTGTAACATTTTGTTCACTTTCTCTACTGCAATCATAGATAAGGATTGGACTGGGCAGGGCTGGGCCCAGGCTGCTCTTCATAATAGAATGGAAGTGGCTTTGGAAAGAGAGAGAGAGAGAGAGAGAGAGAGAGGGAGAGAGAGAGAGAGAGAGAGAGAGAGAGAGAGAGAGC